ATTTTTATTTTATGTGTTAATATATTGCAAGACTGATATTTTTTACTGCAATACGAGCGGTATTAACTTTTGTAGGAGTTAACACTATCTTTTATAGGAGTTAACACTATCATTTGTAGGAGTTAACACTATCTTTTGTAGGAGTTAACACTATCTTTTGTAGGAGATTGCACTACATTTGTAGGAGTTTACCATTCCCCTTATTTTATGATTCATATTCACAGTGTCACTTTCTACAATATTTATATGTTTTATTGTAATGTAACAAAATCCCGATCCTCCAGTTGAAAAGTAAGTTATTTATTCCGATATACCCCTCTAAGAGATGGCATGCAATTCGGACAGACCCCTTCAAGAGACTGCATGCAATTCGGACAGACCCCTCCAAGAGACGGCATGCAATTCGGACGACCCGATTTATATTTATTTTTTGGCATGCAATTCGGATGCACCGTCAAAATCAACTCAAAAACCTTGTCGATGATTCCTTCATACGGATTGGTTGCAGTGGCCGTAACTATAGGGCTGAAATGTTGGGGGGACTGTACCCACCTGACATTACATGAAAAGTATTAAGTAACCCGTGGGGGCGATGCCCCTACGGCCTACACCCCCATATATGTTCACTTAAAAATATAAAAATCATACAAACAAATCAATTATTTATTTACTCAAGTATTTAATTATTACTTAAATTTTAATAATTATATTATACCTAGTTTTTAAACATAACAATAACCGATTTTGCTTAATACCTTTGTATTATATATTATTAGCTGACCCCATGCACTTCGTTGCTCGTTTAATGTTCCAACTCTATATAAAATAAACTTTGTTCAATTCGTTATTTAATATTTGGTGGATGGCGTTCAAAACGTATCTTAACTTTTTCGTTGACCGGAGTTAAAATTCTGATTCGCAGTAGTATAATATTATCAGGTAGGCAATTTACCTGCGGTAGATCGCGGACCCCGGGCTGTTTGTACGTAAGTGTATGATTTCAATCTAGAGTATCAAGTTTGTTGCACAAAAATCGTGACACGGGATTTTCATATAGGTGGCCCGGCAATGCTATTGCCATATATTTGAAACAATTATAAAATTTTACCAACACATTTCTAATTGCAATACTTATATACGTATGAATATTTACAATATTAAATGTCACTACTGTGTAGATTTAAATATTTGTAGATGTAGAATATATGTAGATTTAACAACAATTTCAAAAATTATAATTTTAAAACATACACAATCGTCATTCGTCAGGGTTACACCGTCGGGTTAGATACTAAATAAGAGGACATTATAAAGAAAGTTTTGATATTATTATTTTAATGAGTTTTTTAAGATCATAACTACAAAACAAAAACCATTCAATTTATTGAGACAGATGCACTACCCTGTAAACGATATTTCAATATTTGATGTTGTTTTATTTGGTGGTAGCAAAATAAATTGACTTTCAGGAGCTCCGACCTTTGATAGGCAAACATACTGTTGGCCATGAGTAAAAAATTCTTTTCGTAGGTCGTCCCTACTAATTCGAAGTTTGACCTTGGGTCTTGTACTCTTGTCTATAGTTATCGCGAATTTAAATTCGATTGGCAGATCAGTTGGGAATTTGGGATCATTGGTATCTTCGGTATATGAGCTAGTTATTCAGCAGCTGAGTCGGTGATAATGATCGCTACAATTGTCCTATAATTCCTTAATAATCAGCCTCGTCCCATCTCACATGCTTAAATTTCTCAAAAGCATGATTGGAACTCCGATTTTTAGCATCAATTCATGTGGTGGCCAGAAAAGTTTAGTGAATTTAAAAATGCCTGTGGAAAATGAACCGCGTCTTCGATATTAGTCATAGTGTCGATCGATTTGTAATTTTTTATTTGGCCGGGGACTTTTTGAATAATCAAATTGTTTAATTCATTTACAGTATCATTCCGAGGTGACAATATTGCCCTAGAACATAACCAATGAAAGTCCTTTTCGTTTTCTTTTCCTTTTCCTTTTCTTCTCCAGTTCTCCCATTACGAACATTAAAGGACACTGTAGTGGATCGTACGATCGGTGTAACTCAGAGACCCTTTTAAGTTAGCCATCTGTCCCGTGCAGCACTATGTTATCTCTTGGACTTTTTTTTCGTCAACCAAGAAAACATCTACTTCGTTCAATATATAAATCGGTCACTTTTATCGCATGCGATAAGCTTACGAGTTGTCGATCATTATCGAATTTTCTAATCGTAGCCAATAGCCCGCATTACTTTGTAGCTTGTATCCGACAAAAAAACAAAAATAACTTTGCATCTTCATATAATTTGAAAAAATATTTCTACGTATTTAACTAAACTAATTTAAACATTATTTAGAAATCAAAGTATACTATGCACGATTCACCCCCTCACAAAATTCCTGGCGGCGCCTATGGGTAAATTCGTATTTTTCCAAAAAAAAGTATAACACAAATTACACAATTTTTTAAATAAAAAACGTAAAAAAGTTTCAAATAAAAGTTATAGACCGTAAGTTTTTGTACTATGTATATAGGTG